TGATGAATTGCCTATTTATCATTATAAACATTCCTCTTTATCTCTATTGACATTTTTGTTGTGAAGTTTATTTTGTCTGATATTAGCATACCCACTCTAGCTGTCTTATACTCTAGCTCTCTTATTATTGTTGTGTACATGGTATGTTTTGTTCATACTATGTAAACAACATTTATCTCTAACCTCTTTGTGTCTTTGAATCTAAAGTGTGTCTTTCATAGGCAGCATATAGTTGGATTTTGTTTTTTCAATTTAGTCTTACATCTGTCATTTGATCATATTGTTTAATCCATTTATAGTTAATGCTAATATTAATATTATTGTATTTATGTTTGATATTTTTCCTTTTGTTTCTTGTATATCTCATGACTAATCCCCCCCTTTACTATCTCTTTTTACTTAGATTTTTTTTTTAATTAATGAATTTTTTATTTTGGTAAAATACATATAACAAAACTTGCCACTTTAACCATTTTAAGTGTTTGATGCAATGGTATTAATTATATTCACAATATTGTGGAGCCGTACTTCACCACTATCTATTTAAAAACTTTTCATCACCTGAAACAGAAACTCTGTAACCTTTGAGCATTAACTCTCCTTCCTTTACTTCCCCCATCCACTGGTAATCTGTAATCTATTTTCTGTCATGAATTTTCCTATTCTAGATATTTCATGTAAGTGGAATCATTTAGTATTTGTTTTTAGTATGTCTGGCTTATTTCACTTTGCATAATATTCATCCATGTTGCATGTGTAAGAACTTTATTCCCTTTTTTTAACCATTGATTTTTTTATTGTGGTAAAATACACATATAAAGTTTACCATTTCAAACATTTTTAAGTATATAATTAGGTGACGTTAAGTATATTCACAGTGTGGTGTAACAATTTTTAGAACTGTTTCATTATCCCAAACAGAAATAATCTACCCATTAATCAAAAACTCCCCATTTTTCTTCTCTCAGCCACCAAATAACCTCTATTCTGCTTTTTCTCCTTATGGCTAGGTACTTCATGTAAGTGGAATCATATAATAATTGGTTTTCTGTATCTGTTCTGTTTTTTGGTACTGGGGATTGAACATAGGGGTGTCTAACCACTGAGCAACATCCCCAGCCCTTTTTTATATTTTATTTATTTACTTATTTTAAAGTGAGAGAGAATTTTAATATTTATTTTATTTTTAAAAAAACAACATCTTTGTTTGTATGTGGTGCTGAGGATGGAACCTGGGCCGCACACATGCCAGGCGAGCGCGCTACTGCTTGAGCCACATCCCCAGCCCCTTTATATTTTATTTAGAGTTAGGGTCTTGCTGAGTTGCTTAGTGCCTCAATAAATTACTGAGGCTGGCTTTGAACTCAGGATCCTCCTCTAAGTTGCTTAGGAACTTGCTAAATTGCTGAGGTCGGCCTTAAACTTGTGATCCTCTTGCCTAAACTTCCTGATTTGCTGGGATTACAGGTGTGCACCACTACACCCAGTTTATCATTATTTCTTTCAATATGTTTTGTCCCTTTCTCTTCTTTCTGTTACTCCCACTTCACATATATTGGTGTGCTTAGTGGTGTTCCACATTTCTCTGAGCCTCTGTTGATTTTTCTTATTTTTTCATGTTTGTTTTTCAGATTTGTAGAATCTATTGATCTATCTTCAATTTTGATTATTGTTTGCTTTGCCTCTTAAATTCTAAATCCCGAATTTTCATTGTTTCTTTTTTATAATTTATCTTTATAATCTGATTTTCTATATGATGAATCATTGCTATGGTATGCTCCTTTAATTCTTTAAACATTGTTGCCCTTAGTTCTCTGAATGAATTGTAGTAGTGACTTTGAAGCCTTTATTAAGTGCAACATTAAGGGCATTCGCAAAGGAAGTTTTTATTGCTTTCTGTTTTTCTTCTGTATGGGTCACAGTTTTCTGTCTTATTGCATATCTTGTAATATTTTGTTTAAAACTAGACCTTATGGGGCTGGGGTTGTGGCTGAGCGGTGGAGTGCTCACCTAGCATGTATGAGGTGTTGGGTTCGATCCTCACTACCACATAGAAATAAATAAATAAGAAAAAGGTGTTGTGTCCAACTACAACTAAAAAATAAATATTAAAAAAACTAGACATTTTGAACAATATATTGTACCAAGTCTAAATGCCATTTCTCCTCCTTTTGAGCTTATTTTTATTTATCTTGTTTGGTCATTTGACTGATGCCCCAGTTCAAATTCCTCCTTGTTTTTTTTTTTTTTTTTATCTTTTCATGGCCTCCTAGATGTCACTCCTGCATCCTTGTAATCCAGTTATTGGTCAAAGGTTGTGCTTAAGTCCACTTAGCCAGTTTAGGCTTTCCCCTTTCCTCTAGAATGTGTGTTTGTTTAGAGGTTGTTTTCACATTTCAGGAAGTTTACTGTTTCACCCGGCATTCAGGCAGGGACTAGTAATGAAACCAGAGTTTTTGAGATGAGACTAGATTCCCCGCTATGCCAATTTCCTTCTGGGTTCTTGTCTCACAAGTTTGAAGAGTAAAATCCAGGAACAATCACGGAAGGAAAACGTAAGCACAGTAGGATTTATTTAAGTGAGAAAAGAGAACTCCCACCATGCAGAAAACCCATTTTGCTGTGCTAAATTAGTACCTTGCATATGGCTCTGGGTAGAGCACGGAACAAAAGCTGTTAAGGGCATGGAAAACAGCACCAAGACTATCCCCTTACTATAATTTCCATCTGGGTTCACCCCCACCTTCCGTTTTCCCAACTCTGGGACAAAGGAGTTGGCTGAAGGGGTTCCCACAGGTGAGCCTCTAGGCCTTTTACATTTGAAATAGGCCTGGTGTTGCTCATTAGTATTTCCACCGGTTAGCCTGCAGGTGTTGTTCTGCATTTGAACAAGACCTCAATTAGGGCCCATCACTTTTGATTGGGGATCATTCACTATTCTTATTCAGTAACTCTTGGATTCTTTCCCTGTTTGACTGAGAAAGCACTGTCTTGGGCATATAGTCTCAGAACTCTAGGTATGAGATGATTTTATTTTTAAACTTAGCTTTCTTACAGTCACCCTTCATCTTAGCATAATTTTCAGTTGGTGTTTGGTCAGAGGTTCTGCTTAAGCCCCTGGATCCACTCAGGCTCAAGCTGTTTGCTGATGGATCTGTTTATGCTTTCAGTAATACTTTCTAGTCACCTGACTACAACCTCTGATTGTGCCTGAATGGGTGCAGCCTCAGGGATAAGTGTGACCCAAGAGGTGTTCTTGTTTTTTTCTTTCCTTGGTTCTCCGTGCTAACCTTCTGGATTGTCTGCTGCTTTAACTTGTTGCAAGATTACCAAGGAGCTACCAGCCAGTCTCCTCTTAATTGCTCACCACCCAGATCTCCATTGTTTTCAACAAGGTGCACTCAGTGTTCTCTTAACTGCCTGTTTCCCCTCTCTCCCCAGGCAGAACTTCTCTGCCACATGACTAGAGCTGGGAGTGTAACTTGCTTCTCTGAGAATTATACCCATGCTTTATGAGTGTATACTGGCTGTGTGTTACTTCTAGTCTTCTTAGTTTTGATATGGAAGCTCTGCCTGATGAATCAACTGGGGTAAAGATGATCAGGGTATCAGTATTCTTCACCTGAAATTCCCATGGTAGAGTCCTTAGCCTAAGAGTGAAAGCTGAGTGGACAGAAGAAGCCAAGTCTTCATAATTGTGCCTGCCCTGAATAGTAATTCCATAACACAGGCCTGAGAATGGTAAGAAGGGCTGGTAGCCAGCCCCTCCTAAGGTGAAACCAGAGCCTAGCATTTCAGGAGCAGGAGGGGGAGAGAATTTCCATCTTCTTGACTGCACCCACCACATAGAGCCAAAATGGACAGAAGTAGTTTAAATGACACAGATTCTCACTGTTTTTAATGAGATTTCATTTATATTCATGAACAAATGTTTCCCCATATTTCTATATGCCCTTATGACACACTACCAATTTTATATGGTTGTTTGTCTTAATTTCCAAATGAATGGTCACTTCACAGAGGTGGAGAAGGGTCAAAAGAGCTCCTTAAATCACTATTGCCAAAGTTTCCTTTGTTATTGGTTGTTTTAAAGACTTGTAGTAGAAAGTTTAATGTTACATAACCCCCATTAAATAGGCTTACAGTGACTAGGCTAACATTAAATCGTTGTTAACAAGCTAAAACTTTGTTTTCTCAATTCTGGGTCTTTTTTTTTTTAAAGAACATTTTGTATTTCAAAATACTGTCTTCAACTTAGTTTAATTTACCAAGATTTGTTGAAATACTCCCCTGGAATACCAATGGTGAATGATCTTTATTTCACTTTTTCAGTTTTCAATTTTGAAATCTTGAGAGTCATAGTAATATATTGTGTGTGGTTATCAGAATGTCCAATGGAGAATATGTCTTGGTAATTAAAGCAGAGAACTGAAAGTCAAATTTCTCTACTCCCCATGTTTTTAGCTCTCATTCTACCTACTAATCTAGAATATATTAGAAATCACTCTTGCTTTGTTGGTTCATTTAGTTGCAAAATAGAACCAATAGTGCTTCACAAGGGTATCATAAGGTTTAATGAATATTGCTAACACATTTGTTTCTGTGATAACAGCTGTATTTATTTTATTTTAAAATGCATTTATATTTCTTAGACTTCAAAATGTGCCCACTAACTAAAAGCTTAAATACATGTGTAAATTATTTTAATGCAGTATATATATTTATAGCCAAATTAAAAAGAGCATTAATATAATCACAGTGTTGATATGTTGGCTATCTCTTGAGGAAATTGTGTTTTTTTCTAGAGTTAGGAAGTATTGCTGTATAAAATTGACTTTTATGTTAGTTGGCTAACCATCTCTTGTAGTACAAAATAGAAAAATTTGAATAAAGTATGATTATGTCTTCTTAGTATACATAATCTTTAAAATGATATGTATTGAAATATAAATATGTACATACACAGATGTATATATATATTTTTCCCTTTTTAATGATAGCCAAAGCTATGATATTGGGAAGATGGATATGAATTCTGTTGGGCCAGAAATGCTGGTAAGGATCATATTAAATATTGGAGAAGTTGGGTGGGGGGTGGGGGTGGGGATTGTGACTCAGTGGTAGAACACTCACCTAGCATATATGAGGCACTGGGTTCAATCCGTGGCACCAAATAAAAATAAATATTGGAAAAGTCTATTGAAGAAAGAGTTTATGGAATTGATACAAAATTATAATACTCTACCCCCCATTTGTGAATAGATTGATTATCTGTGGGACACATCATTTAACATCTTAGTGCATTAGTTTCCATAAAATGTAAATGGTAATATAATATAACCCAGAGCTTCACAATCAACCCATGAGTTAATATATATAAGGCATTTTAAACAGCGTTTGGCTATTTAATACAACAAAATATTATTCATTCTTAAAAAAGAAATAAATTCTTACAATGTGGATGAATCATGAGGGCATTATATTTTTAAAAAATATTTATTTTTTTATAGTTGTAGTTGGACACAATACCTTTATTCCATTCATTTATTTTTATGTGGTGCTGAGGATCGAACTCAGGGCTCTGTGCATGCTAGGTGAGTGTTCTATTGCTGAGCCACAATCCCAGCCCCATAAGGGCATTATATCATGTGAAATAAGCCATTTACAAAATGATAAACACTGTATGGATCTATTTATATGGGGTACCTACAGTAGTCATAAAATTCAGAGACAGATAGTAAAATGGTAGTGGCAGGGACTGGGAGGATGGGGAAATAGGGAATTATTGTTTAATGGATACAGAGTTTTAATTTTGCAAGATTAAAAGGTTTTGGAGATGGACGGTGGATAGTGGTTGCACAACAGTGTGAATATTTGTAGTACTACTAAACTGTAGACATAAAAATGGATAAAATTGGTAGGAAAGATGGTGGAATGAGACAGACATCACTATCCTAGGTACATGTATGATTGTACAAATGGTGTAACTTTACTTCATGTACAACCAAAGAAGTGAAAAATTATGCTCCATTTGTATACAATGAATCGAAGAGCTTTCTAATGTCATGTATAACTGATTAGAACTAATAAATTAAAAAAAAAACCTTAAAAATAGCTAAGATGTATTTTACCACAATTAAAATTTACTAATATAATTATGCATTTTTATGTGGTGATATATAGTGATATTGTCACTTAATGGAATATTATATAACAATGATAATCAATGTACTATAGTAATTACAGCAATACGCATGTTTTCACATGTAATGCTGAATAAAGAGAGCAAGATAAAAGCTTGTCATGGTGGGCTGGTGTCATGGTGTTCAGTGGTCGAGCGCTTGCCTCCCATATGTGAAGCACTGGGTTTCATCCTCAGCACCACATAAAAATAAATAAAATAAATAAAGATATTGTGTCCATCTTTAAAAAATCTTTTAAAAAAAGCTAGTCATGATGGCATATGTTGTGGCATATGTTTGTACTTAGTTTCTTGAGAGGCTGAGACAGGAAGATCAGTTGAGCCCTGATTTCCTTGGAGTTTGATACCAGCCTGGTTAAGAGTAAGACCCTGTCTCAAAAGAAAATGCAAGATACAATTTAACACATACTATATGATTCCAGAAGTATAAATGCCAAAATCAGGCAAAACTAATATATGATATTGAAAGTCAAGGTATCAAGTTATCCTTATTTGGAGTAGTATCTCAAAAGAAGTATGAGGTGCACTTGTTGCTTTTAATGCTCTGCTTCTTTTCTTGTTTTCTTTCTTTCCTTCTTTTTTGTTTTTGGTGCTGGGAATTGAACCCAGCTAAGTAGGCAGCTCCACTGCCCCCTAACCAATGCTTGATTTCTTTGTTGTTAAACGTGTTCACTTTGTGAACATTCAAGAGATGTACTCTAAAGATTTTTTAATTTTTTTATGTGTATACTTCAAATAAAATTACAAAAATAGATTTAAAAAGCACTAGTACGAGTGAAACAATTTGGGTAAATAAGTGATAAACTTTGTGACACTGACCTGAAGTATGTAGAAGTTGTCCATCAAAGTTAACTAGTGTAGTTGAAGAAGCCTTTTGGTAATAGGCTTTGTACTTGGGGATCATACAGTTAGAAAAGAGGAAGAAGAGGATTCCAGGAGGCAAGGGATTTAGATGAGAGAATATCTGAGGAGGAAATGAAGGTGGAAAATAGCATAGAAATCTGATTGAAATGGAATATTCATATTGTGAAGTTTGGTGAGGTAACATTATGAAGTAGTTTTTCTTTTATCCCAACAGTACTTTATTGAGGTCTAATTTATATAAACTGCATAAATCTTAAATGTACAGCTTAATGAATTTTAATATATAATCTTGTGACCATCATAGAGATAAAGATACAGAAACTTCTATCAACCCCTAAAGTTTCCTTGAACCTGTTCTAGTCAATATTTATTTCTTTCAAGGGAAAAATTAACACTATTCTTTTATTATAAATTATTTTGGGCTGTTCTTGAGCTTTGTGTAAATGGAATCACTCAGTATGTGCTGTTTTGCATATGATTTCATTTGCTTTACATAAATTTTGAGAATCATCCATTTTCGTCTTTCTGATGATTTGACCCTTTTATTATTATAAAATAGTTGTAGCTACAGTAGTTCTCAGAAATGCCATATTTATTCCATAAAAGTTCTCTAGGGAGCTTATAACTTCTTAGAGAGTTATTTCATAATAATAATGACGTTGAGTACTTTTTTATATATCTTATTAGATCCATTATAGTTTTTGAATTAAAAAAATGAGAGATATGATATCCTAAATGATATTTCTCTATATTTGCATAACACTAATGTGTTTAATTTTTTAAAAAATCAGTAAATCACCTTTCTATGGTCCTGCTATCCTCATTTTACTTAGAGGCATTTCACTGAAGTAGGGCTGGTTCTTTCAAATTGTGAATCTATAGATGCACATGTCCACACTGACTAGAATTATATGTTTTATCAACACTGACCTGGCTGGAGAAACTGACTTGATTAGGAGATGCTTTATTTATTTTAAAATGTAGCTGAATTGGGAGAAATTCTCTCCATAGGAAGTTTTATCTGTTCATACCAAAATGGTGTTGGGGATGCCCTGATCCAATAAATTGATTTTAACTATGCTATAAAGCATTTGAGGGATCTTTCTCTTTTGATGTAGGCCTAATAACAATGCTACCTAGACGGTAGGTTTTAAGTTGATTAAATTAAAAATCAACATGCCTTATTTGCCTTTTAAAAAAATATTTTATTTAAGTTGTAGTTGGACACAATACCTTTACAAGATTCATAGACAATATTTGGTATGGGGTACCATAATGACAAGATGTATCTCAAGACTATGAAGTTGCTTAAGGAATGGTATTTCATACAGGAGACACATTTGAGTAGATGCCTGTCACTATGTAAGTGCTTGTGAGCTGCTGTGTTGCAGTTTAACCTTCAGCTAAATGTTTTATTTCATTTTTAATTGCAGGCTAAAGTTCTACGGTTACTAGCTACTGCCTATTTGGATTGGGATGACAGAGAATATTATGAAAAGGCCCTCAGCGCTATAATCCTAGCAAACAAGGTATGAGAGGTTTTACTTTTGAATATTAATACAATATTCAAAATTTAAAGCTTTAATTCACATTTTAAAATCCAGTTTAGACATTTGTTTCAGTATTCTTCTTTTTTTAATAATAAATTATTCAAATCTCTTCTATAGAACAGAAAGGTAAAAAAATATATATTGTTATGATCTGAATGTTTGTGTTCTCCCCAAACTCAAACACTGAAATCCTAACCATTAAGGTGATGGTACTAGTTTAGAACTTTGGGAAATGAATCTCTTGAAGAATGGAATTAGCACCTTTATAAAAGAGGCCCAAGGGTGCTTGGTTGCATGTTCTACCATATGGGGATATACTGTGTGAGAATGAACAGTCTCTGAGGAAGCAGACCCTTATCAAAAGCTGAATCAGCTAGTACCTTAAATTTGGAGTTTCCAGCCCCCAGAACTGTGAGAAATAAATGTATGTTTTTATATGTTACACAATTTATGGTATCTTGTTATAGCAGCCCACAAAAGAATAAAACAGACATGCCTGTCTCTTTCTCTATTTAATGCTGAAAAGCCTTTATTAATATTAAAATATTTTTTAAATTTAAAAGTATAAACATTAAGGAACATTTTCAAGAGTTGTATCCTTTTACTCATTTATTTAATTTGCTAAGATGCAAGTCCTAATAAAAAATAGGGACCAAGATGACTCAAGAAGTTGCATACTAACTATATGTTTTTCTGCCAGCATCTTTGTTTTTGTTCATTGGATGCAGAAGTTGCAGTTTTATAGTCGTGATTATTCACTTGCATTGCTCATGACACATCACGTGACGTAATAGCCTAGTTATTGAACCTGACATAGCTAAAATAGGTACATTAGGATTTCAATTGCAATATACATCTTTAAACAGGCTTATTTGGAAATAATTTCAAATTTACAGAAAAGTTGAAAGAACAAAAATAGTTCAAATAACATCTCTGTATATTTTACCCAGGTTCACCTGTTATAAATATTTTGCAGGCTTATGAGGTACTTGCCTTCCCTTTCTTTCTTCCTTCCCTCTCCTCTCCCCAACTTCTTTCTCTCTATATTTCCTCAATAATGAATTTTCATTTTTCCTCTGATGAAATATTAGTCTAGCTGGGTATTGTGGTACATGCCTGTAATCTCAGTGACCCAGAAGGCTAAGGTTTCCACCTCAAGAGTTCAAGGCCAGCCTCGGCAATTTACTGAAACCTGTCTCAAAATTAAAAAAAAAAAATTAAAATAAAAAGGAACAAGGATGTATCTCAGTAGTAAAGCACCCCTGGATTCAATCCCTAGTACCAAAAAAAAAAAAAAAAAACCCAAAAAGATCAGGATCAGGTATTGCATTTATCTGTCATGTCTCTTTAGTCTCCTGTAATCTGGAACTTTCCATGGCTTTTCTTTGAGTGTTGTGTCATTGACCATTTGGAAAAATACAGTACATTCCATCTTGTTTTAACTGAAAGTTCTTCATTTAGAGTTTATCTGATGTTTCCTCATGATTAAATTCAAATCATGCATTGCTAGCTAGATTGCTACATAAGTGGTGCTATGTCCCTTCTCAGAGCTTCACATCTCCAGGCATATGATGCTTATCTGCTCCTCATTGTGATGATAATATTGGTCAGCTAGTCAAAGGTGTTGTCCAGTTTCCTCACTACATACTTACTATTTTTCCTTGCAAGTAAAGAACAGTTAATTAGGGAAATCAATGTATCATACATGTTTTGCTTTTTATTAAAATTTCTGTTTAGAGTTAGCATTCTTGTTTGAACTAGTCTTTAGTATGATTGTTGCCAAATAATTATTTCCTAACTTCAGTACTTCCTCCACTTTGCACTCAGAAATCTATAAGCATAACTTCTCTCTTCTATTCCATTCCTATTTACTTAGTATTATTTACTTATTTGTATATTATCAGTTTGGATTTTTGTCTTTCTACTTTTTCATTGATCTATAATTCAATGATATCCTTAATCATCTTTTAATGGTTTTGTTAAGGTATAATTGACATACAATAAACTATAAAATTTGATGACTTTTGGCATTCATACATACTTGTGAAACAATCATCACAATCAAGAAGGTAGTCATCCTTCAGTATCCCTGGGGAATTGATCCTAGACTTTCATAAAAATACCAAAATCTGTGGATGCTCAAATCCATTATATAAAATAGTATAGTATTTTCATGGAACTTATGTACATCCTCCATATACTTTAAATCATCTCTAAATTACTTAAAATATGAATAAAATGTAAATGTTATATAAATAGGTTATACTATACTGTTTAGGGAATAATGATAAGAAAAATGTCTGTACCTATTCAGGACAGATGTAAATTTTTCGAATTTTTTATCCATGGTTGGTTGAATCTGCAGATTTCATACCTCTAGATATGGAGGGATGGCTGTATATATAACATTCCCCAAATTTCCTCATGTCTTTTTATTACCTTTCCCTCACATCCTTCCCCAGGCAACCACTGATATGCTTTCATTTTGTAGAGTCATATATAAATGGAATCATGGAGAATATATTCTTTTTTATGGCTTCTTTTTTTAATGTTTAATTATTTTTTTAGTTATAGTCAGATACAACATCTTTATTTATTTATATAATAAATGCTAGGCGAGTGCTCTACCACTGAGCTATAGCCCCAGCCCCTTATGGCTTCTTTACTGAGCAAAATTATTCTGAGATTCATTCAAAGTTTTTTTTTTCCTTGTTGATGAAATACAATCCAAATTTATGTCTCTAGAATGACTTTATCTTGTATTAATATAACTATTTCAGCTTTCTTATGATATCATGGTGTATCTTGTTTCGTTATTTTACCTGTTTATGACTTTTCATTTATTTAATTTTTTTTGTTTACTATGCTTAAGATGAGCATAGGGCATAGAGCATGTTAGGAAAAAACTCTTTTTTGTGTGTGTGGCACTGGGGATTGAAACCAGGGTCTTGTGTATGGGAAACAAGCACTCTACCAACTGAGCTATATCCCCAGATCTTTGTATTTTCATTTAAATTGCATTTCTTTGGAGCAGCAAATAGTTGTAATCTACTCCTTTACCTAATCTGACAATCTCTAGTTTTTAACTATGATGTTCAGAATATACAGATTTAACGTGATTACTGATATTTTTAAGTTTCTGCCTATGATCTCATTATTTATTTTCTTTTTGTCTTATCGTTCTTTATTTCCCTCCCCCTCTTTTTTTTTTCCTTTTTGGAATTATTTGAGTATCTATTGTATTTCTTTTATTGACTTACTAATTGTAATTTTTGTTATTTTAGTTGTTTCTTTAGGGTTCATATGTATTTTACTTCGGTCTACCTTTATATATCATAATATTTATTATTTACCTATCTATTTTCAATTGACAGATAAAAGTTGTATGTATTTAACTATGTATGGCATATTGTTTTAAAGTATTTATGTCTTTTGAAATAAGTAAATTTAACTAATTAACATATATTACCTTACATAGTTATAACTTTTGTGGTATGAACACTTTATACCCACTCAGCGTTTTTCAAGAACACAGTATCTTTTTAACTATTGCCACCATTTTGTATGATAGACTTCTTGAACTTATATGATAGACCTCTTATTTGTCCTATCTAAGGTACACTTACAGTTTTTCTAGCATAATCTTTATGGTTTTATTGTCATGTATTTTACATTTCATTTTATAAAACTACAATACTATCTTATTATTTTGTTTAAATACTAATTTTCTTTTTAAAGACATATAAATAATAAGGAAAAAAATCTTATTTATTTCCACCAGTAGTTACCATTTCAGGTGATTTTTATTTCTTTTTCTACATTCAAATTCTATCTTGTGTTATGCTTATTTTTATGTTATTTTTGTTTGAGGCAGGATATTGCATCCACCTATAACTAAAAAAATATTTAAAAAATAAATAAAAATAAAATATTTTTAAATTTTAAAAGTGTTATTTTTCTTATGTTACTTTTCTCCTTGAACAACATTGTATTATTCAGAGTTCTTCAGAGAATCAGAAGCAATGATTTATGTGTGTGTGTGTGTGTGTGTGTGCGTGTGTGTGTGTGTGTGTATAGAATGGGGAGAGATGGAACAGGGAGAAAGAGAGAAAAGGGGAGAATTTGTTCTATGGAAATGGCTGGCGTGACTATGGAGGCAAGTCTACAGGGTAAGTCAGCAAGGTGGAAACCTAGGAGAGCTGCTGGTGTAGTTCTGAAGGCTGTCAGGCTCAAGACCTGGGAAAAGTGAAGATTTCAGTTAAACTCTGAAGGTAAGAAAAAGCTGATATCTTAGTTTGAAGGCCATCTGTCAGGAAGAGTTCTCTCTTGTTTTAGGGAGGGCCAGCCCTTTAATTCTACTCAGCTCTTTTTTTAAAAATACCTTTATTTATTTTTATGTGGTGCTGAGGATCAAACCCAGGGCCTCGCACATGCTAGAAGAACGCCCTACCGCTGAGCCACAATCCCAGCCTCTCTACTCAGCTCTTTAACTGATCAACTAAGATACACTCAAATTATAAAGGGGATCTGCCTTACACAGTCTACCGATGTAAAATTTAGTCTCATCCAGAAATGCCCAAAATAATTTTTGACCAAATATCTGGGTACTCAGTGGCCCCATTAAGTTGACAATATTAACCATCACAGAGATCTAATGTTTCTTGTAATGGTGGTCTCCTGTTAGATGAGGGTATTCAACATTTCCAACATATGTTTGAAAGTGTCCTTATGTCACATTCTTTTAAAAAATGTTTTAGGGAATGGGGGAATAGCTCAATAGTAGTGCTTGCCCAACATCCATAAAGCTCTGGATACTATCTTCAGCATCACAAAAATTAATTAATTGATTGATTAAAATGTTGCAGGAATTTTTATTTTGAAATAATTATAAATTCATAAGATATTACACAAATAATACCAAGAAAAAAGTGAATAAAATGAAAACAATGATGGTTAAGATTCTGAAAATACATTTAACT